TCTAGTAAGGTCTCTGAATATGAATGTATTTATTTTTAGATTCTGAGCGGAGCGATGAATGTATTGGTTTTACAATGATGTATGTTTTTATTTATATTTATTTATATTTATATTTTTATATTTTTGTGTCTGTCATCACGTTTTAGGACAGTAAAAGTGCTTGGATTTTCTTCATCAGTAGCTTTTCTGGTAGGAAAGTGAATCTAGTTGGTACTTTGGGGGGGTCAAAAGTGAAAATTTCCCAGTAGTTTTCACAAGCGCCGGGAAAAACAACATAAAAATTAAGGAAAAACGGGAATTTTTACGCAAAATTGGTTTTCCAAAAAATCGATTTTGGTTATTGGTGTAACTCTAAAACAAATGAACGTATATACATGAAATTTTCACTGGTTGTTTATATTTGCATTTTCTATACACGATAACATTTTCAAAATATTTTGAACTGTTTAGGGACATTTTCATTTTTCATTTTTTTTTAGTTTTTTTTCTAGAAATATCAATAAAATTTTATTTGTTGGTTGCGAAAGCTTGAAAATTTAATAGAAGGCTCCTAATATGTTGTTTCAAAGGCAGATGAAAAATATTAAAAATCCTTAGTCACAATTTTTTTTATAAGCATTTAAAGTTCAAAAATTTACAAAATATGGAAAAATCACGAAAATTAGCAAATTATTTTGAGTTAAGAATTCGTAAAAATTTTTCTATTTAAATCTAAGATTTGAAAATGAAACACAATATTCCTTATAAGATTATCTACCTTTATCAATAAAAAAATCTCTACCGGACAGTCAAGTTAAATTTTTATGAGCGTTTGAAATTAAAATTTTTACAACATTGGATATTTACTCGATTTCTCATGTAGCGATTTCCTTATTTTGTTGTAATTCAAAAACGAACAACTGTAGATACATGCAAATTTCACTGAATGTTTAAATTAGCATTTTCTATACCTACACCATACAATTTTGAAAATATTTTGACTCTTTTTGAGCTTTTTAGGGACATTTTCAGTTTTCAATTTTTTTAGTTTTTTTTTTTTATAATTGTCAATAAAATTTTATTTGGTGGGCCAAAAAGTCTGAAAATTGAATACAAGTTTTCTTATATATTGTTACAATATCAGTTGAAAAATTTTAAAAATACATAAGCACGATTTTTTTTTATAAGCATTTAAAGTTGGAATTTTGACAAAATTTATCAAAATCTCGAAAATAATCAATCGTTGGAATTAAAAAATTATAAAATGTTCAGTTTTTATAACTAAGAGTTGAAAATTTAAAACAAAGATACTCTTAAATAATTCATACTGTAACCAAAAAATCTAAAAAATATATAAACACACTTATTTTTTACAGGCATTTTAATTTCATATTTGAACGAAATTACATATTAAAAAACCTAGAATAACTATTTTAGTTATTTTGTTGTGATTGAATAATATTATTCGTGGGTACTTGAAACTTCTAAAGTGTACTATTATATATCTATGATAGTATCACGGTTTTTGTTGATGTATAACGCGTTATAAGTATCTAATGGATATTGTGATATGATTAATTTGGAATTTATTATAGGTACCTATTATAGGTCAATTTTTTGTTGAATATCATAGTTATGTATATAATATGCCTTATACATAGACTGACATACCATCACCGCTCAGAATCGTTTTTCTTATACAATGATATTAAATCATTGAATTCAAATTTAATACCATCTATTATACATTGACCCACTTGTAACCTACTGTACAGCAGAGCGACACCCACTTGCCCACCTTTTTTATTTACAAATTTTCATATTAAATATCCATAAATTATAAAATATGCTTTAAAAAATTGTAAAATTAAGAAATATGCTCTAAAATCTAAAAGTCACTAAATATGCAAAAATATGCACTAAAAACTTTTGATATGTTTTTCGTAGTGTCTTGAAATGAACTTCTAGCTTACCTAGCAATAAATCTAATGGTTCAAAAAAATCATGCAAATGCAACAACTTCCGAGCACTATATATATGTTATAATCGTACTTTACCTAATACCATATAATATAATATATTACTTATATATTATTACTAATATTAATATATACGTAGTCACAGCCCGTTACAATGTTTTTAGTATAATATTTATCAAATTTTAATTATTTTAGCGTACCTTACGTATTATACAGAAGAACCAGGAATTTGTATAGGTACCTACCTACTTCACAAAGATTGTTTTAAGATATCCGAAATCGTATATTATATTATATTATAATAAATTATAATATCACATAGGCAGTGTTGGGTAAATTACTTTTAAAAAGTAATGAAATTACGTTATTTTAAATTGTTTTATTTTAATTACATTACTTTTTCATTCATAAAGTAGTGTGTCACAAACCATAGACTTATAAAATACTAAATAGGTCTATGGTTACAAACAACGTTACTTTTTTAAATTTTTTTTTTAACCCACAATTAATGTACAATCATCTCACCTATATAGCTATAAGTCATAAACCATAATTAATTTTCATTAAATTTTATTTTTAAACCGAACTATTTTCTTACTACTAATAAAGTGATTATAACATTTATTTCTGGAATGTTTAGTGATATTGTGAACTATTATCGGAATCAAAAATAAAGGTAATTGATTTTTAATTTTTCTGGGATATCCTATACGTGTAATACAATCAAAACCATTATTTTAATAACGTGGAAAACAACGCGTTAGTGCGTTACTTCATGGAAATTACATTTCAAAAGTAATTTTGATACAATTACGTTATTTCAAGTGAAATGTAATGAAATTAGTGCTGCGTTACTGAAAAAGCAATTGCCTTAAAGTAATTTTTAATTTGCGTTACGTTACTACCCAACACTGCATATTAAAGGTATGCAATCGCGAGGTTGGCACAGTGAGACTGGACGTCACTTGGTCGTTCGTGGTGAGATCTCAGTTCGTAAACATACAAAAACTGTATGTGAAATTGTATGTGTTTGGCGGTGTACATAGATAAGAGAGACATCAACGAAACGGTTTGATTCTGATAACGTGGTTCTTGTTTAACAACGTTTCTCTCAATATTATATTGTTATCAAAACAAACAAACACATCGTCATTCGTCCGGTTTGATTTTTCGCGTCGTGCTGTCGGTGTAATTTCTTTTAAAGGTATGTATTTATTATTTAATTAAATTATATTAGTCGGATGAAAACAATACATATTCTGAGCAATAATTACTCCTATAAAACATTACGTTTAGGTATGTTTATTAAATATTTAACTTGAAATGTATTATACGTGGTGCAAAACGCGACGGGGCACAATGAGACACATTTTTTTTGTCTTATACTCTTTAAGAGCCTTTCATGAAGGCCGGTTAAGTATCGGTTAAGACTAACCGGAAGATTTCCAACGGTAATACTAAAGAAATTCCGTAGGTTAGGGTTATCAAACATTGTAAGAACGGCCCTTAATGTATCGCGTCTAATGTGTTAAATTTTTATTAAAATAATTAATAGTGTCGGTGGAGGAACAATAAGGAACAGTAGAAGCCGCTTATTGGGAACACAGATAATTGATTCAATCAGATTACTGGAATATAACATTGGTTATTTGATACAATTAGGCGAGGTCAGTTGACATATACAACGGATATCCGGCTTATTGTTGTCGTTAAGTTAATTTTTACTTTATTCTATCGTAAGTGCAGTACCTATATAAGAATTCTCTTTCAAAAATCAAACCAATCCCTTATTAGAAACAATCAGTTAATTAACACGTTTTACATTTGTCCCATAGTTTTCCTAATATACGGCTTCTACTGTATTTAATTAATGTTGTTTTAATGCTCGGGTTAAGAACCGAGTAAGAAAAACCATAAATGGTAGTTTTATAGCCATATAATTGAAGAAGCAGTTAATTTAGTGACAAATGAAAAGTATTCCATTAGATTCTGCTAAATTAAATAAAAACCTTAAGTTTTAAACTGTACAAAGGTTGTTGCAATTATTATAATTAATATCTCAGTTTAAACCATCCATGTCTCATTTTGATTAAGTATAACTTGTAGAAAAATCAGTGTCTCAATGTGCCAACCTCTTCACATCACATTCAAAACAAACAAACTATATCGCTTATTTTTCCAGCACTGAAAGTCTCTATACTAGCCTAGGTGTAACAATATAAAATAGACTATTCAAATTAATTTTAATACAATTACTGGTTTTTACCTACCTATTCAGGATTCAACAAATATATTGTACAAACCATCTCAAAACAATATCATACTTGTCACTAACATCGGTGTACAAAAATAATATAAATAATTATATTTTAGAATCTTTCCATGATTGATTATTATGTGCTTATTTATTTTGTGTTATTGTCATTTTAAAAATGTTTCTTCAGTTTTTTACAACATGGCCTGAAATTTAAATTCAAAATTTGATTTTAATTTCATGTTGCTTTTTGAAAATTATTTTTTCTGATTTCAAAAAAACAATATTTTAAAATTATTATTAAAGTACACTAAATATGACTCATAGAAAAATTAGAAATTCCACCCACTTCACTATAAATTCTAAAAAAAACAAACTATATCGCTTATTTGTCAGTCTCAACACTAGCCTGGGTGTAACAATATCAAGTAGACTATTCAAATTAATATTAATACAATTACTGATTTTAAGTAAACTACTTTAAAGGACACAACAAATTATTAGATAGCTAATATAGGATTCAACAATATTTTACTAAAAAATATATTATACAAACCATCTAAAAACAATATCATGTTAGTAACAGTGTACAAAAATTATTCCATAATAGCTTCTCGATATTATTTTTTTCTGATTTCAATCTAAATTAATAATGTATTGGTTTTATTATTTTTTTTATTGAGGATTATTAACCATATCTACGATAATAATTATAAATTATAATTGATTTTGAAATGTCCTTTTTTAGTTTCAAGGTATTAATATCTTAATATACAATTGAATTCACAATGGAAAATAAAAATACAGATTCTAGAAGATGGGAACCAGTCAACAAATTGTATAAAATATCATCTTTTGTAGATATATATAAAAGTTTGCAATACTTACGGAAGTAAGTGGCAAGTGATTTAGGGCCCGTTTTACAATCATAGTTTAAACCTCGGTTACGCTTTAACCACTTATTTTACCACCCGAATTCAGTGGTTCACCGGAGTTCAACTATTGTAAAACAGGCCCTCAATCTCCTAGAAAAATATTAATAACATTTTTTTGTAGTGGTGACTTTTTTTGTGATGTTAAACTGAAAACGGACGATCAAAAAATAATAACTGCACATAAAGTGGTTTTATCGGCTGCTAGTACATATTTCAATGCTATGTTCACAAATTTTGCAGAAAAGAATCATGAACTTGTTGTAATGAGAGACATAGATTCAACCGCTTTACTGCTCTTAGTAAACTTTATTTATTCAGGGCAAATCAGGGTCACTGAAGAAAACGTCCTGGTAATAATAGATAAAGTTTGATTTAATTATATAAACCTAATTATTTAAATTGTATATTGTTAATTTTTCAAGGGCTTGCTACCAGCCGCAGATCTCTTGCAGTTACAAGGAGTAAAAGACGCTTGTTGTGATTTTTTACAGTCACAGCTCTGTCCTACAAATTGTATCGGTATTAACACTCTTGCTGATTTACATAGCTGTAAAAAATTGATAACAAGTTCAGAAATATACATTCATCAACACTTTTCGTACGAAATAAAATTTATTATTATGCTTCTATCAGTACATTTTATTTATTATTGTAATATTTTGATTCTTAGTGAAGTTTTTGGCGGTGATGAATTCCTATCCTTATCATCGGAACAAGTAATTAAGTTGATATCCAATGATAGACTTCCAGTATCATCTGATGAAAAAGTAGGCAAACTAACATTGATTATTGTTATATTTTATTATTGACAAAAGAAAACTTTAGTAACCTTCTAATATGTAATATTAAGTAATCTAATAATTTAAAAGTATACTTATTGTTTTAGGTGTTTGAAAGTGTGATAGGTTGGGTGAAATATGATTTGGGTTCAAGACAATGTATTTTACCCCAATTAATGGAACACGTGCGATTACCATTAACATCGAAGGATTACATATTAAAAAATATAGTTGTGGAACCTCTTATTTTGAATTGTTTTAAATGTAAGTTTTATCTTTTAATATGTTTCATTGTGAATAATTTATATTTTAGATATATATTTATAATTTTTAAGGTTATCATTACGTATTTGAGGCATTAAATACAATCAACTCAGAAGATTTTATTCCGCAAATTGTCCGGAATATACCCAGACATGGCGATAAAGTATGATTCTGTGTAATATATTTATCTTTCCAATGAATTTAATAATTTAATTATAACAGGTTATATTAGCTGTTGGTGGAAATGGGTTTAGAAAAATAAATTGTTTAGAATGGTTTGATCCAAGAACGGATCAATGGCATTTTGGACCAGAATTGATTACAGACCGATGTCAAAATAGTCTAGTCGTAATTAATGATAATTTTGTATTTGATGTGGGTGGTAATGTTTATGACTTCGAACCACATCGGTCTGTTTATATGCTTGATTTGTCTTCCGAATCACCTTGTTGGCAACCAAGTGTCGACATGTTAGTTGAAAGAAAACTTTCAGGTGTTGGTGTAATAAATGATAATATCTATGCTGTAAGTAATGTTGAATTATTATTTATTATTTTATTTGTTAGTTCGATAAAAAACATGTACCAATAAATTATACATTTAATTTTAGGTAGGCGGATTCGATGATAGATTTGGTAATTTACAAAGTGCAGAAGTTTTCGACTACAATACTCAAGCATGGCGTATGATATCTAGTATGACTTCTATAAGATCTTTATTTGCTGTTGGAGTCCTGAATGATATTTTATATGTGGTATATTTTTTTATGTTTTAATTTTGTATTATATTTGTGATATTAATAATATTTTTAATTTCTAAACATTTCCGTACTCGTGTAATATTGAAATTGATAATTTATAATAGATACACTTTTATAATAAAAAATAAAAATATTTAGTTTATTAAATTTCATATAAATATGTTCTTAATCACTTTCATTGAAAATGGTATTCAACAATATAGGTTACTTTGTTATTTCTTTTTAGGGTGAGGTATTTTTAATAATTTGTAATAATACAATTTTGTAGGTAGGAGGTCAAGATCAATCACAACGTCCATTAGACACTGTTGAATGTTATAATCCCAGTATGGATATGTGGAGACCAGTTGCAAACATGCGTGTACGTCGCAGTTGTGCCGGTGTAGGAGTTTTGAACGGTGTACTGTATGCTGTAGGTGGCGTTGATGGATTGGACTGCCTGAGTAGTGTTGAAGCATACAAACCAAGTACAGGAGTTTGGACTTCTATGGCAGACATGCTCTTACCTCGAAAATATCCAGGTAACTTCTTGTAGAATAAATGTAAACTAATTTTTTAAAATATTTTTTTTTAATTTTTCAAATTAAACTATTTTTTCTATATAGAAGTAGTCACATTAGAGGGTTTGTTGTATGTTGTTGGTGGATTAGACGCATCTTCTTTTTTGGATTCTGTAGAATGTTACAACCCAAACACCAATACCTGGGCCATGGTCAGAACGAAACGTAATATTATGCGGATTTTACCAGGAGTAGTAACAATTAATAGACCACTACATTTTACAACTTATGAGCATTTATGATTTTTTTTTTTTTTGGTACAATATATACTTGTTTTCATATACTGCACTATGTTTAGCATATTATACAAGACATGCCTTTTTTGTATATACATTTTTTCTTATATTGTATGATAATAAATTTATTGTTTTTTTTTTAATTTTACTACTTTGATGTTTAATTTCTATAGCTAAGGATTGTCCATTTAAATGAAGGTTTCTCATAAGTAGTTAATTATGCAACCAAAAAAAACTATAAAATATATACCTAAACAATTTTTTTCATAGATACTTTTTGTTCAAATTTGGATCAAATTGGAGAGGTATTTAAAAGGAGAACAACGATTTTAGTTATCTCGTTTTAATTTAAAAATAATATTTGTTGAATAAACTAGCTCGAAAAACTTAATACAAGGCTCTTAATATATTATTACAAAGATATTTGAAAATTATTAAATATCCATATTCACAATTTTTTTTGTTGACAAAACAATTTAATAATCACTGAAATGTGCAAATTATGTTGAGTTAGAAATTCTTAAAAATTTTTCTTTTTAAATCTAAGATTTGAAAATTTAATACAAGATTTCTTACAAGTTTGTCTAAATTATCAACAAAAAAATCTTTATTGGTAACTCAAGTTAATTTTTTTATGAGCATTTGAAATTCATTTTTTCACAACATTTAATATTCACTTGATTTATCATGTAGCAATTTTATTATTTTATTGTAATTCATCTACCAATAATTGTAGATAATTGACATTTATACCATATGTTTATTTTATCAATTCCCACAGGTACTCAAAGTATTTTGTCTCATTTTGAGATTTCTTCTTTCTCTCTAGAATGGACCAAATGGGAATTCTAATGGGAATTTGATCATTTACCGCTGAATATCATCAAATATCTTAAAAATTATGAGTTAAAACACTAATAAGAAATTAATATTCCGTTTCATTAAACTTTTTTGTTGTTGTTATAAGTAGAAAAACTTAAGTTAATGAAATCTCTATAAACATTTTTAATTATAGAATTATTTTTAATTATATTATCTTTATGAATTTCTAACTAAAAAATAATTTACAATATTTAAAAGAAAATCTCATGGCTAAATTGCTATAAATATCTCAAAAAAAGTTAAAATTGTTTGAAAATTCTACCATGTATGGAAAATTGTCTTTTTAATATTAGATGAAAATTTCAAGTATCTAGGATTATTTGTTTTTGAATTCCAACAAAATATCGAAAATTGATATAGTTATGCAACTTTGCCTATGAAAATCCAATATTGTAAAAATTTTAAATTCAAACTCTCGTAATGCATATTTGCATATTTTACAAAAGTATTGGGTGACTCACGGAAGATCGTTCATTTCAAAGTGTGTATTAATATCATATTATTATAATATCATATTGCATTTTGTTATCCATAAGACCATAACACTATACAAGTTGGAGCGTATAAAAAAGCATACAAAAAGAATGGTCTGTATTGGTCTGTCAACATATATGAGTGTTGTAATGTTTAAGTATATGACTAGTGCTGACTACGTATAGAAATGTATTATTGTTCCATAGACGGTGCTTAAATTTAATTTTTCAGAACACAAAGAGATAACTTTTAATAGAATATAGTAATTATATTATGTGTGTGGCAATGGCGGGAATTGAGCTCATATAATATCTGTAAAATATAACTGTATTTATATATTTATTAGATTTTTATGGTTTCATTATGAACTATTTATGCATATTATTCTTGTTTAACATTTTCGATCCTTAAAGCTATAATAATGTCTAACACTTTTTTAAATTTTTAACTAGGTAGGTACTAAAAAATTTGGTAAATATTCGATTTGATAAATGTTGTCATCATTTTATTTTAAAATACTTACAAAAAAATAATAACAGAAAGTGTCAAAGGTAGAGATGTAAACTTGATGAAATTTTTAGTTTTCAATTTTATTTTGCATTGATTTTTTTTGAAAATGTTCTATAATATAATTTACATTGTGTACTGTGTAGGTATGTACCATGTACGAATTTATCGTAGTTGGTCATAGTTTTCGCTGAAGAAATATGTTTATGTGTTTTAGGTATATTTAAATTATCTGCTTATTGCATATTGGCTTCAAGCTTACCTATCGGGCTTTATAACGCCCCTATTATATTATATTATTTTATTACCTTTAAATAGGTGCCCTTGTCTCGTATATTGGTATACCGCCTATTCTTATAATATTATAGTTACCTATATTAGTTGTATCTGACATCCGTACAGTGGTTGAATACTATTACAATATTATGATCATTTTATTTTCCAATTCTCATTTCTCAATTTACTGTGCGTCTGTGGCACTCTGTGCAAACTGCAAAGTAGGTAGGTACTATAACAGACTGCCACAGCCGTTGTTTTTATTTTTGAGTACCCTATACGGTATACTTAAATACTTTAGATTTTATTGTAAACAATATTATCAAAATGTTCAGTATATTCAAATTAAAAAATGGCGGGCAAGTGGATGTCGCTCTGCTGTGCAGTAGGTACCAAGTGGGTCACTGTATAATGGATGGTATTACATTTGAATTAAATAATATAATATCGTTGTATAAGAAAACGATTCTTAGCTGAGGCGGTTTATGAGTCTGGAATTTTTAAATTTGTATTATTTATTATAGCCTCTAAATTGAATTAATATTATAATTGTTTATTCATTGCAATGGTGATAAACAAAACATTATTAAACAAAATCCCATTAGGTACTTATAACGCGTTATACATCAACAACAAACCTTGATATTATCATAGATACCTATATAATAGTATATTTTAGAAGCTTAAAGTACCCACGAATAATATTATACAATCACAACAAAATAACTAAAATAGTTATTCTAGGTTTTATTTTATGTAATTTTGTCCAAAGTTGAACTTTAAATGACTACAAAAATAAACTGTGCTTATGTATTTTTTAAATTTTTTGAAAACAGAATTAACTACTTACGTGGAATCTTGTTTTAAATTTTCAATCATTAGATATAAAATTTGAACATTTTATACATTTTTAATTACAAAATAATTATTCAATTTTAAATTGAATAAATTTTGTCAAAATTCAATCTTTAAATGCTTATAAAAAAAAATTGTGCCTATGTATTTTTAATATTTTTCAACTGCTATTGTAACAATATGTCAGTACTCAGTAGCTTTGTATTACATATTTACATTTTTTGGCCCAACAGATGAAACTTTATTGATATTTATAGAAAAAAAAACTAAAAACTGAAAACTGTAAATGTAGGTAAACAGCTCAAAAAGTGTCAAAATATTCTAAAAATGTTATCAAGTATAAGGATTAATAAAATAAACATTCAGTGAAATTTTTGTGTATCTACAGATATTCGGCTTTGAATTATAACAAAGTAAGAAAATCGCTATAATATAAGAAATCGAGTGAATATCCAATGTTGTAAAAATTCATATTTGACTTTCTTATGGACATTTTTTTTTTGATAAAATATTTTTAATACATGAAGTAATTAACTAAAAATATATAATTATATTATATTATATTATAAAAATATACCTACTTTAAAATTTTCAGTTGGAGGTTTTGAACCCCTAACCTCTAAACCCCCCCTGTATACGGGCTTAGAACAAAATACTGTTGAAAAAAAGTTGTACTGCCCCAAACCGTGATGACAGACACAAAAAAAAAAAAATAAATAAAAAAAAAAATAAAAAAAAAAACCACACATCATTGTAAAATCAATACATTCATGTTTCCACTCCGAAGCTAAAATCAAGTTGTGCTAAGTACAAAGGTGACCCAAACAAATTATGGTTTATATTAGACCCAAAAAAATTATGGTTTATATTAAATTTTGGTTTTAGTGAACTTTTTGTAACAACTAAAATTTAGTGAATCTTATAAGTATTTTAATTTAAAACATGTGGGTTTCATATTATTAGATAAGATTGTAGATTGTAGCATAAGATTGAAAACTTTTAAGAATTATATTTGTTCAAATTTTTTTTTCAGAACACAAGAAAATTTTCATTGGTTATTTATTTCCGAATATTCTATATACACGATGAAATTTTCAAAATATTTTGTTTTGTTTTGAAATGTTTAGGAATATTTTCAGTTTCTAATTTTATTCTTCTTTTTTTCTATGAATGTCAATAAAACTTTATTTGTTGACTTGTAAAACTTTATTATCAATAACTTCTACAAAACTATACTTAATGTATACCTACGTATAATCACATACAGCGCTGCGTAATGCCATAGACGTGGCTAGGAGGGGGGAACTCTGTGCCATCCCTACTTATTTATTTCTCATAATTTTATGACACACAGAGAAAAAAATCATTTAATTTATGTCACACAACTTTAGCAGAATAGCAGGTATAGCTTCTTTATAAAATATATAAATGTTTTATTTTTGAATTCAATGATAAATCATTGTATAGGTACGAAAAACGATTATGAACGGAGACAGCCTATCATACTTGTATAAAAAATTAAGGTTATAAATTCGGTTCTTTTTAATTTTCCGAAAACTTCGGTTTTTTTCGAAAATGTATTATTTTAATATTCTCCAATTTTTGCCCGTTTTCCGAGGCTCCGGGAAAAAAACCGTTTTTTTCCGAATTTGTCAAGAATTTTTCCGGAATTTTGATCCTTACACCTAAGTATAATACTCATATTGGAAATTTAATTTACAGTTTTATTATTAACAAAACTTGTATTATTTATATATTATATGTGTCATATACATATATATATTATATCGCCGTAACGAATATTTTCAAGGACATTTTTTTATATTGCTTTAGTAAACCTAGTACATTTTATAACATTAACATAGTTAATATACACATTTTAGTTTAGGTTATTATTATAGAAATTAGTTAACTGAGTCATACCTTATAAAGTTATACGCTTATACCTATATTTAAATGGCTAAATAAATATTTAAAAGATGTAATTTGTTTTTTATAAATAATACATTTCTTAAATAGGTACTAAAATTCAGAAATTATGCAAACATTACACTCAAATATTGCACTCCCAATTGTTGCGGCACTGCGCATAGAATGCTTTAAGAGTACTAATGAACAATTATTATTTTACTAATGATCTATTTCCGAAACTAAAAATATCAACATTAGAACAATTGCCATCGTAAATTGATAATATTTTTTATTTCAAATTCACGCGCGCTTATACGGATTATCATATTTGAAAGTAACGGTGATAATGGTATGATAAGGGGAGCTTATCACAGCATTTTCCAAGCTGCAATGAGACGGCTGCCGGCCGATCGATCGCACACACACCCACACAAGCGCATGCAGTCTCATACCGTAAAGGCGTAAAATTCGTACTCCATAATATTATATTCTGTCTATCTTGAATTTATTATTTTTATATTGATGTTTGCAACGATTCGTAGATACTAAACACAATTAAAATCTATGGTTCTATTATATTATTATATTCATTAGTTGGTGTTGTCAATAGTTTCATATGCCTACGAAAAAATTCACCGAAGCCGAAGTCCGAACCGTCTGCACACAAATCGCACAACCTATTTTTCAGGTATTTTATTTTTTGGCCGCTAAGTGCTTAGATCATATTGTACTAGTCGCAGCATATTATTTTATCGCCGATATTACTATATTAGCGACGAGCCTTCGAATTAGGTGTTCGACGTGCACATAAGCGAAGCAACTCGTCGCATAACTATCCATATAGGTTACTATCACAGAATTATTCTATATCATACCACAGCGGAAAAATACCTCTGATATAGATACTAGTAGCTTATTTCGTGGTTAATATTTATATTATTATGGTA